ATGGCAAATAAACTGAATCTGAATCTGAAGACTCGGCTTTGGGTTATTCTCCTTTTGCCTCCATGACACCGTGGTTTATCAAGGCAGGGGGCCACGGAAAATGACACTGAGGGCCGCAATTGTCCCCCGGGCCTGAGTTTGGTCATTCCTCACACAGAAGTTTAGGCACACTAAGACAGAATATTATACACATCACCTTTGTCTGTTTGTAAATGTGAAAGTGTTAAAGGCATTACATTGTGGGAGACTTTTTGTGTCAGAGAAGCCTTTTTTTGTCCAACGCGTCACGACAGGAGCCAGGAAACAGCAAAAACACTCGAGGCGCAGACGTATTCACAAGAACAATCTGTTTCACATTATCTGAATTGAAAAACACAAACAATATTTGATCTTTTGCTGCGAGTGCTGGCAGCTCTTTAGTGGTATCTGCTCTGGCTCTGTGCTATCTCCCGCTCTTTGAAATAGTGGGTTAGCTCATTTTCATGCCTGTTTGTAAGTATCTGAGGCTTATCGCTCCACATTCTGCTGGGCCCACACCACACTCTCTCCATCTGGAAACACACCCAGATTTTTTTCCCCCCTATCGCCGAATAAAAGAAATTACCAACACGAAGAGAACAAGATGTGTTTGTGTGGAAGCTGAGGCCGAGTGGAAATAGCCTCAAATGTCGTGTTTGGAGCAGACTGTCGGAGTGCGCTGAAGAGCCTGGGATCCAGAAGGACAGATACCTGAAGTCCGAAGGCTCTCTCTGTTCTTTAGTCTCGTGTCTATCAACCTGTGAGGAACTATACCTGTTATTACTCCATATTAATTGAAAACTTGCTCATTGATTCAGGTGTGTATGAATTCAGGCCGTGCAAAGTGCCGAGTTGACACTTTGCGTGACGCTAGTTCTCCTCCACTCGAACAACGTGGGGCGGTGCTGTAACAAACAGGCCACGCCCCCTGTAGCGTTTGCAGGTAAACACAGCAGCAGCAGAAAGTGGCTATAACTCCTCTGGCTGTAACTGCAGACACAGCAAAACAGCCCAAACCACACAACAGTGAGGAAGAGAAGAGGAACTAAAGCCAAAACATGATCAAAGAAGAAACCAAGCCCTGAACAGAGCTAGCTTACATCGTATCCTCTGGAGAGACCTGTGAGAGCGGGACTATCTCTGCTCGGACTATCTGCGCTCGGACTGTCTACGCTCGGACTATCTCTGCTCGGACTATCTACGCTCGGACTATCTCTGCTCGGACTATCTATGCTCGGACTATCTACGCTCGGACTATCTCTGCTCGGACTATCTGCGCTCGAACTATCTATGCTCGGACTATCTGTGCTCGGACTATCTATGCTCGGACTATCTGCGCTCGGACTATCTCTGCTCGGACTATCTCTGCTCGGACTATCTACGCTCGGACTATCTGCGCTCGGACTATCTCTGCTCGGACTATCTCTGCTCGGACTATCTACGCTCGGACTATCTGCGCTCGGACTATCTGCGCTCGGACTATCTGCGCTCGGACTATCTACGCTCGGACTATCTCTGCTTGGACTATCTACGCTCGGACTATCTCTGCTCGGACTATCTGTGCTCGGACTATCTCTGCTCGGACTATCTGTGCTCGGACTATCTGCGCTCGGACTATCTCTGCTTGGACTATCTCTGCTTGGACTATCTGCGCTCGGACTATCTATGCTCGGACTATCTACGCTCGGACTATCTACGCTCGGACTATCTACGCTCGGACTATCTACGCTCGGACTATCTACGCTCGGATTATCTACACTCGGATTATCAATGCTCGGACTGTCTACGCTCGGACTATCTCTGCTCGGACTATCTACGCTCGGACTATCTACGCTCGGACTATCTACGCTCGGATTATCTACGCTCGGATTATCTATGCTCGGACTATCTACGCTCGGACTATCTACGCTCGGACTATCTACGCTCGGATTATCTACGCTCGGATTATCTATGCTCGGACTATCTTTGCTCGGACAATATTCAAACAGGAAAAACCTGCAGAAAAGGGTATAGCTCCTTTTTGTTACCATGGCGGCGCATGAACGTGCTGCGGCTTCTCTCTCTCTTGACAAGGTGACGTTTCTACCCTTTTCTGCAAACTGCATTTGCAGTTTTTGTGATCCGCATTGTTTTGCAAGATGTTGTTGTACATCTTTGCCATGTTTTTGTGGAGTTCAGCGGATTTGTTACTGCCAAAGCTCTTTGCTAGCAATGAACAGAGGATGTGTTTTTAAAAGTAAACACACAGTTAGCATCTGAGCCCAAAGGCTTTTTGAGCAGTATTTAAGACCTGCAAATCGAGAGATATCATCTTCTGAAGCGCTGACAGGTCACCGAGGGCCCCACGCATCTGCAGCACAGTGGAGGCGTCACGAGGCGCTACAGGAGTCCCGGCCTCCGTTGTGTGCAACTTCTACAGAGGGACTGTAGAGAGCATCCTGACCAGCTCCATCACTGGGTGGCACGGCACCAGCACTGCCTC